AAAACCAAACAAATCAAGCGCAAAAGCTGGAGCCCAATAAATCAATTTAATGGTTTTAACATCAATGCACTGAGGCAAAGTAACACCCAAAATTACCATAAGAACCACTTAGAGGCTATCTATAAATTACGTAAAAACAGGTATAAGGATAACGTTTTGCAAAGAAGGTGGAACGAAAGATTAGAAGACTAGTTGTTTATTTAGCGTCTGTCGCGCTCAGGTCAGTATAGCTTAGAATAGAGTTGTAGGATATGCGCCGCACGATAGATAAGCGCATGCCAGAAGAGCATCTAGGAACACGTCCACATTTATATTTTTAACCTGAATTTGAAAGCGTTGCGAGGTGGAAGTTTGTTACGTAAATTAGGAGAAAATGAAGGTGATCAATGCAGGAAGAAATCTAGTTTTTTAATGTTGTCCCATTTTCACCAACACATTAGATTAGGGAATTTTTCTACTCAAGGATCATTTTTAGGATAGATTTTCGTTAGTTAGTTAGTTCATAAGTGATACTCAAGGCTGCTGTATCGTTGTTTTCATCCGAAAACTCCTTGGTAAGTTTCTAGTTCAAGAAAAACTGTACATTCCCCAAATAGAATAGGCTCTCAAAATAGTTAGAGTACTGGCTCTTGGACATAAGATTTAAATTGATTGAGACTCTCTCCTCTCAATAAGTATGGGCTCTCACTCTGGTTAGAGCAACTAACTTTGAGTCGGGAATTTCAATAAAATTGAAAATAGCAAGGTTTCCAACTTGCAGTTGGTCGAGTACTTCTTTACGCGACTAATAAAATAATTGTTAGCAGCGATAGCGTTCCTTCGCACGTGTTAATCGATCGCGTCGCTAACAAATAACGAATGATTTATTGTTATTAAATTGTTACAAAAGGAAATCAGAAAATTAAGAACATTGTCTTTCCTTAATCAATCCTCAAAGACGGCATGGAGGACCTTAAAATAACCAGATACAAACATTGTAAGGCCAAAACGACCTTGACAACTCAAAAATGATTTACTGAAACCCAAAATCAAAAAGACATTGAAATAAGCCAAAATATCCGCGAAAAATGTCAAACAAGTTAATGGCTGTAAACTCAAACGCCAAAGCAATCCATATATGGCGTAAAATGCGCAAATATTTATGATCTGAAATCACTGGGAAACGAAAACTACATAGCAAAGCACAGCATACCGATAAAATAATAAAATGGGCTAACCTGTTTGCTATCAAAATTATCTTGGAGACGCCGACACAACCTTTTATCGAAAATAACAAAAATGGCCTTACAACCGCTAAACTAGTCTTTACTTATCAAAATGGATGGAAAACACTATCATGGCCAGCAAATGTTTAAAATACGCCATTAATTCCCGTTAAAATATTAAAACAGTCTGGCAAATCATATAATAATGAGAAGATCGAAATTTACCAACAACGAATCATATATGGCGGGGAATGGCAGATACACCCTCACTTGATATTTGATATCAACCAAATGACGAGTCAGGAACAGTTTTCAATCGCATGGATGAACGAGCAGATACGAATGAGCTTTTACGAAAGATACAATTGAGGATCAACAACCCCACATTCTAACATCAATCCTTATAGTGAATTATTTGTAATGGTCCTATACAATGTTCATAGTCTTTCTCATATTACCGCAAATCCAGTCCCGAGCACATATCAGGCGCGAGCTCGGTTCTGTCTGAAGCAGAGGTGGCAACCGTACAATTTTTGCAAAACCATCATCCAGAGGGAAGCAAAACAACCAGCACTCGGGTGGTTGTGCATAACTACATTTCAAGCAAACGGCGGAGATAGAGAATAGGAAAAATATCGCAACCGATTCTTTTTCAAACAGTTTATAATAGTGAAATTTTAGCTGCAAGCTTGCGTGTGACAGTAAATGATAAACTCCCTTATTTATGCATAATTAGGTTGTTTAGTTTCGAAAAACATACCGATTTTTATACATAATCTAAAAGAGCTTTGTTTTTTGAGTACCACGATATTTTTGTCGATCCCATAGACATTCATCTTGATTTGTAAATCAAGATTTAAATTTTTTTTATTCGATGACAGTTTGCTCCCATACGAAGTCCCACCAAGGTGTACTGAGGTGTTTTTTGCTCATGTAATCGCACTTTTTTAAAATAGTTTCAGTGCACCAAAGTCGATGAAATTTCAGATTTAGGTTCCATTTTGAATTGCGAATATGTATTCACCTCAATACGCTTAAACAACCCAGTTATATCATCTATGCTTTATCCATATCTTTTCATTTCATGCAATAAACTTCAAATAAATACAGTAATTAGCCAGAAATCAGCAACATTCTACATGCCATGAATATATGTCATACGGTCTTGTCTGCTTCTTTGTGTGAAAATGTTCTGTCGCTGGCATAGAAATGTCACGACATTTTTTTCCGCTTGCCAGTTTGTTTTTGTGTGTCTTCAATATAGTCATTGCGAAAAGTATCAAATGTTATTGAAAAAAAATGTTAAAACCCAGTACTCGTGCCACCACTGGTCTGAAGACACCTGAAAATCTGATTCTCAGGAATAGTGAAAAATCATAATCACCGAAAAAAACAATTGGGTTCTTTAATTTTGAAAAATGTATCGGTTTTTATACATCATCTGGAAGAGCTTCGTTTTCGGAGCACAGCGATATTTTTTTTGAACCCACATATTTTCATCTTAATTTTTAAATCAGGATTTAAAGCAAAATAATAACTTCACTGTTTGGCACTAAACTAACAAACTGACAGATCGCTCCCATACAAAGTGACACCAAGGGGCGCTAATAAGGTGCTCGTTTAAAATAGTTCCAGTGTACCAAAATTGATGAAATTTTGGGTTAGGGTTCCATTTTTAATGTAGATTACGAATATGCATTTACCTCAATACCCTTAAAGAACCCAATTGCCGAAAAGGAAACGAAAATATCAGCTGTCACTACAAAATGAGAAAAAATAATCATGGTTGCTTTTCTCCGAGAGAACTGCTTTGCTTGCCCTAATAAAAATAACCATAAAAGACAGCTTAACGACGTATTCGGTGTATCATCCAAACCATTTGTGGGATAGTTTACCCATCCGGGATACAATTCGTTTGTGGTATTAGTTTATTAGGGTGACCAAAGTTCTCTCGCTCTTTGCTTTATTTTTTCATCATCTGTAAGGGAGAACAGCCAAGGGGTATTCAACTCTGCACACCACAATCTGCGCCAAGAAATTTAGCTGTGCCGAAAGCTGTGCCAAGAGCTATGCCTAACGTCCCGAAGTAGGCCAAAGTGTATCAATTAAGGTGTCAATATTCCATAATTTTAGCAACCCTGAAATTATAATGACATTTGTTATTGTGGTTAAATTTTCATTTTCAGAACGGGAGGTGGAATATAAACTGGTAGTTATTAAACCTATACGGTGTTCAAGCAAACTCGACCGTTCTGCCGCAAGATTATGACTATATGTCTATTTAAAATACTGATTCCTTGCAGGTGTGCAACAACAAAGTCGTAGCCTGATCGATGGAGGAAGAAAATGCCACTAGCATCATTTGAAAGACGATGAACAACGGTCATGTAATCGACAGCGATCCTTGCTATTAGATGCTCGTATGAGCCGGATTGGAATCCGGAAATCTGTGTTGCACAATTATTACTACTGCTTGTTTGTCAATACTTAGAGTTGTCAAGTGGGAACCTCTGAGCACACAGATATTCACTCTGCAGCTAGTCAAATTTTATAAATTCAGGCCTTACAGTTGACCGATCGGTAGGCTACCCATAACACCGGGGCCTCTTGTGATGAACAAGTTAAACTAGTGAGGTGACAAAAGTCACTCACTAGTAAGGTGATTCTCCGTACAAATCGCACGACTCATAGAATAGGCCTAGGAGAGTCGCGAAACACGACCTGACGTTGATCATCTCACTAGTAACATAGAGTTACACGTTTGGTAGAATGGGTCTTAATGACAAGCAAGAATATCTGAGGAAAAACTCCGACGAAAACGAGAAAAATTGCATACCAGAAGATCCTCGGCAAAACCGATATTAGAACCAGGCTAAAAAAACCCAATGATAAGCTTTATGTCTGTATTGATTATTCGGTGTGGACGTACGGACGTACGGACGTGCTGATGTACATTTCATTTTCATTTCTACATAGCAAACTTGTATATGTAGCTGAACTCTCATAGAATAGCCTGCCCTATCCTGCGTTCCAAATGCAAATTTGATCATCGCAGGATGCAGGATATTCTTCCGGCCGTTCCCGTTTCAGTTAGGGCTTTGTAGTAGGTGTTGCGCACCTATGTCAGGAACCCCTACCTGTAAGAAATCCACTGCAATGAAAAGCATTATTTTCAAGGGCTTCGAAGCACATTACAGACATTATTTCCGGAAGTCTGCTCGAAAACAGGTAAAAAATTCTTCAGCATCCGGCACAATTTAGTCACCGTTCAGAGCAGTTTCGTCACTACAGAGATACGAACTGTGAATCAGATTAGATGTACTGAGTTTTTGTTAGATTGAAGTAAACAAAGTTTTCATCCTTAGCAACGATTGGCAAAACGTCAACACTCGACAGTGATGCCATTTTATATTATATTTTTTTGTGTTCTACTTGTCAACGTGTGCCCTACACGGAGATGAAAAACTACCCAAAATTAAGTACTTTTCCCTCAATTCCGGGGTTCAGCCCAATAACCCAAATTTGAGTAAATCGCATATAGTAGTTTTCATTTAACACCAGCAAAAAAATTACCTACACTTAAGTATATTCTACCCAAAATTGAGTTTAATTCACGTAAATTTGAGAATATGCAATTTACTCAAAAGTAACTTATTGGGCTGAACTATATCGTTGGGTCGAATCTCTCGTTCCTTTTTTGACAACAATAACGAGTGCAAGTGAGAGGCTGAAGCCAAAATTAAGTAAAAAGAACTCAAATTTTGGGTAGTATTTTTTCTCCGTGTAACAAGCCAAACAGTGTGCTATGCTGTGTTTCGGCACAGTGTGCAGAGTTGATTACTCCTTGAGAATAACCCATCCACTTTTAGAAAAACAACGATAACTTTTCCTTAGATGCATTTTCCGGGTAACGGATTTATGGTTTTGGAAGTGATTTAAAAACAGTACCTTGAAAATCATGAAAAATCATCGTTTTGTAGTTCGAAATCACTCGATCATCGTAGAAAACATAGTAATGAACCATACACCATCACTATCTCCTTAGTTTTAGCTTCAATCCGCTAGAAATTGACGATTTTACTTAAACGGTGCGTTTTGCACCATCCTACCCTACTGGTGAAAAGTGACGATTCTCTTCTCACAACTGCGATGATTTCGATCTCTGATAAATAGAAATTCCAGATCAACATTGTGGTCATGGCCCCTATTTTTTAAACACTTGTAGTTGTGAATGGCTTATAGTTATTCCTTGAAAAAATGATTTCATTTCGCAGCTTAAGGCTGAAGAGCGTTGGGGACTGGATTGAATAATTTCCATTTAATTCCGTTATAATTGCCTATCTCAGTGCCATGTACTCAAAAACCACTACTTAGACTTTAAGTCTTGATAAAATTAAAATTTAGGACTGTTTAAAAAAAATCTTAGTGTATTCCTAATTTGTTGTGGGTATTTGTGTATTAAATTCAATATTTTTCGTATCCACCTTTTCTTCTTGTTCCTGTTGGGTCGCTTTCGAGAACCATTTTCACTGGGTCGTCGTGCGGCATTCTTGCGACGTCGTTGCGGAACCGTAGTCGCCCAATTTTTGCAATGTGGACGATGGACGGTTCTCCGCTACTAGCACTTTTTGCAATTTAAAGCTGATATATGGCTAATATTAAGTTTGGAAGCCTTATACTAACCCCTTATTTTGCAAAAACGGCAATAGGTGTGCTATTACTTTAGTATCACTTAATACGGAAAACAACTAGAATGAAATCATAAAAAAAAACTCCCACTGTATTCAAATTATTTTCATAGAAAAGAAAATACAAAGACATCCCACCGGAAAAATGCAATTTCGTGCACTTCACACCATCCCCGATGCATTTCCCTGCCTGGATCAAATAAAAACTTTACTGAAACTGAAAGATAAAACGCTTCTGCATTCATAATCAGAAAGGTCTCTGAGAGAAGAAAGACGACGACGCTTTTAATGCGATTTATCATATTTCACGCTCTTCCATTTATTATAATCACGGTCGTACCCATCGCAGCAGGAAACTATTTGCTCCTGGCGTGCTACATCTCTCTCCTATCCTATTTTTGTCAGCCCCAAAGAAGTCCCCAGACGAACAATGAACGACCCGAATCAACGCGCTGCTGGTAGGTATGTAGGTAGTTCCGTTTTTCTGGCACATTCTTGTTCTGCATTCTGCTGCGCTTGATTTCGTTATTCACGATCCGTACCACCACTTAATAACAGCCAACTCTCGGGCAACATCTGCCTGCTGAATGCTTTTGCTCGGGCGTGATTGATGTTTTTGAAAGGAATCCAAATCACCTCCGAATCGCTTCCTCTGTCTCTATTTGTCAATGGAAAACTTCACCCCGAATGATAGGTACGGTTTATTAGTCCGCTAGATTTTTTTTCATGTTTTAAAAATCCGATTCGTGTTATAGAATTCAACGTAAAACGCAACTAATCTCTAAATCTATAAAATCGAAACAGATTTCTCGGTTTCGTGACTGAGTTATTGGTTCTATTGATATTTAACCCAGCTTCTTTTTTTTTCTCGTATTACTAACAGTTTGAAAGAGATAAAGGGAACAAAATCAACGCATCGTTTTCGATCCTAGCTACACGTTAAAATGTCGTTCGACCAAAGATGAAGTTTCCGGGCGCATCGGGATCGTCAGATGAAAAGTACTCACGCCACAATACGGCAAACTGCTCCCGGTCGACCTCCTCGGCTCCCTGTGGAAAAAAAAAGATATAGACGAGCAAAGAGAAAAATTGAAAAGATGAATGGCATAAGTATGGTCAGAATTTATATGTGCAGCTGGTCAAAGTATGACCAATAAAAAATGTTCAGGCCGCTGGGTGAAAAAAATATTCTACTCCAGGAAAAGGTTCAAGCGCCGGACCGTACGAAAGAGTCATACGAACTTTAATTGATTTTTCACGTGTAGGCTTGAGCTAGTAGGGCAGCAGTGTGTTAAGGAATTGATTAGTAAGGGGCAACCTGTTTTGATATGCTCTGAACCGGGGCCCTGGAGGAGTTTGACAAGCCTCGTTCAGGCCATCGTTCGGACATTTGGAGCCGTTTGTCTGTGATTTGGGTGGTTTTCTTGGAAACGTTCCGAAAATCCGGTGAAGGAAAGCGAATATCGAAAAATAAATCCGCGCAATCGTAGCCAAGGATTTTGTTCTTTTTTTTTTTTGGTTTATTAGGAATTCTTCCAAATTATCAGAATTATATCGAAGACCTTCGACTAATAGGAAATTTTAATGGAGTTCTCCATATATTCCCTCATGTTGGTTTGTTTATTTTGGCTAAAACCGTTTGCTCTAGCTTTTTTACACATTTCCACCGTTCCATCCGCAACATCGGATTATTTATTCCTCGAACTGTAATCGTGCGTGATTGTGAAATTTGGGGCATCATCGGCTTGTTTAGAATTATTTGTGTTTACCGTTCGTGCTATTTTGCGATATCCTTTATGTACTGGTTATTCATTTATTTAACGTTGGTCTCTGTTCCGCAATCTAGTGTCAATTACCGACGGACATCGATTGCCATCCATTGATGGCAATCGAATGTGCAGAAGGCAGCTTCCACACATGTGTAAGATATCGCACCCATTCAAACACACATGGGCCGGGACCAACGGCTTTAATTCCCTTCCGAAGGAAGACGTGACCAAAGTCCTTTGTGTGCTATGTACACCTGTTCACGTTGTCTTCTTGACTGAAGTGTTGCATACAAGCAACTCATCTTGTGGCTGCTTTCCCAAAGGCGGTTAATCTACGCTCGCTGATTGATACTCTCGTTGGCCTCAAAATGAACAGCACGTGCCACTCTTGTGCCTCCGACATCATAGGCCCCGTTATCAATTGTCAGGTCTTTTGTAATGCGGGATTTAATTTACTATGCTGCGGAATCTCTCCACCAGTCCTGGAAGAAGTAACCAAAAACATGCAGCTATGTAAATCGTGCTCCAATCTTATGGGTGATATTCGTCTACGAACATAGCAGTAGCACCGTCTCAAAAATTCTGGCTATACTTGTCACGAATTTCTCATGATGTCACCGTCGAGCAGGTGCGCGCATTAGGCGCACTGTTCCTTGGTACGGACGATTTGGAAGTCATCAGACTTGTGGCCAACGGGAAAGATGTCATCTCAATGACTTTCATCTCCTTCAAAATCAGGTTGAAGACAGAGATGAATGAAAAAGCACTTTCTTCATCAACATGGCCTACTTCCGGGATTTCAAAGATAGTAGATCGGGTTTAAAATTTTTGGAAACCGTCTCAAGCGCCAATTCACACCCCCAGAGAACCAGCCGATCCGCGACGCGCAGTAGTAAGCATCATGAAGACCTCTTCTCAGTTCGAAACAGTCCTGCCTTCTGCTGTAATCGCATCATAAGCGGTCCTGTTGTCGTATCTGGTGAAGAGGTTCTCCAACCTGCTCTTCCAAGTACCAGCAATTTGTAGAACGTACTCTTCCTGATCGATTCTCCGTTTCTAGTCAACAATCTTCTGCACATGCCTCCAGTCGTCAACTACACGTTACTTATCACGTCGATACTCATCTTCATGATTCGCCAACCGTCACCTTAATCAGTCCGGGACGCACGTCACTAAGCAGTATGAAAGCCCTGGACCCACCTAGCTCAGTTGCGCCCACTGCCAGCTCCAGTTTTGTTCAGTCTAATCGTTCCCGCCATCATATTCGTCCCGGCCTTGAGTCTAGTGCTCAGGAAAGGGGTTTCCAAGCTGCCATCTACGGCAAGCATTATTTTCCTTATGGTGTTGCTCGACCTGATACGGACTTCCCTTCCAGATCACTTTACTTACTTATTCTGGTCCGACATCCCTCAGGATTGCACCTGCATCACAATGCTACGCCAATTCACTCGATCCGTGGCTGCTTGTCTCCAATTTCTTGACCGTCCCACACTTCCAATATCCTGCACCACTTGGTCTAACCATCTTGTTCGCCGTGCATCGTCTTGTACCGGCCGGATTCGAGGCAAACACCATTTTTGCGGGATTGTTGTCCGGCATTCTTAAAACGTGTCCCGCCCATCGTACCCGTCCAGGTTCCGCAACTTTCTGGATACAGGGTTCACCATATAGTTGCGCCAGCTCGTTGTTCATCCTTCGCCTCCATAACCCGCCAAAGATGGTCCTAAGCACTCGTCGTTCGAAAACACCCAGTGCTAGGTCAGGTTCTCCTCGAGCATCGTCCACGTCTCGTGCCCGTAGGGAACTACCGGTCTTATCAGCGTCTTGTACATTGTACATTTAGTACGGAGGTGAAGTTTACCCGACCTCAGGTTCTTGTGGAGTCCGTAGTAAGCACGACTTCCGGCCAAGGTTGCAAAGACTCATTTCAGCTAAAACAATGTTTTTCTACATTATGAAATAATTAGATGCCATGATCAAATTTTGAATTGGTAGGATACAAGAAGAGGTTGCAAAGAATGTGTTTGACATATTAAACCTGTTTATTTCACTTCATGAGAGTCACAGTCAGCGATTTTTCACAAACTCACTCACTCACTCACTCACTCACTCAGCGATCAGCAAATCGCTGATTGTGACTCATAGAAAGCAAAATTTACAGGTTTTATGTTTCCAACGCATACTTTGTAACCTCTTCTTGTAAGTTACAAGTAAAACATGCCATCATACCATCTTTTGGTTTTATTATTCCGAAAAACATTATTTTAGCTGAAATGAGTCTTTGCAACCTTGCTTCCGGCAATAATACGCCGACGAATTTCTCTGCTGCAGTTGTTATCTGACGTCACCAATGATCCGAGGTACACAAATTCATCCACCACCTCGAACTCATCTCCGTCGATTGTCACGCTTCTGCTTATGCGAGCCCTATCCCGCTCGGTTCTTCCAGCTAACAGATACTTTGTCTTCGACGTATTCACCTTTAATCCAACCTTCTCTGCTTCACGTTTTAGCGCGGTGTACTCCTCCACCACGGCCTGAAACGTTCTTCCGACAATGTCCACGTCGTCAGCGAAGCAGATGAACTGGCGGACTTATTGACGATCGTGCCCCGCATGTTAAAGCCCGCAAGTTTCATAACACCTTCTAGCGCAATGTTGAACAGGAGGCAGGAAAACCATCGCCTTGTCGAAGTCCTTTGCGAGTTTCGATATCTTCACGCAGTATTGTACACCATCCATCGTAGGCCTGATCAGTCTGGTCAGCTTCCCGGGAAAACCGTTCTCGTCCATGATCTTCCATAGCTCTTCACGGCCAATAGAATCATAAGCGGCCTTGAAATCGATGAATAGGTGGTGCCTAGGGACTTGATATTCACAACCCTTTTGGAGGATCTGCCGTAATGTAAAGATCTGGTCCGTTGTCGATCGCCCGTCCACAAAACCGGCTTGATACTTACTTACTTACTTAAGTGTCCTGAGCGCCATCCCTGGCGCAAAGGGCCAACGTGAAAGATCTCCATCCTGGGCGATTGTTTGCTTTCGCCTTGACCTGGGCCCAGGTCAAATTCCGGTCGACTTGCTTAATCTCCTTGTTTAGGCTTCGCCGCCATGAGCCCCTGGGTCTGCCTCTGCTGCGATGTCCGGCTGGATTCCAATCCAGCGCTTGTTTGCAGATTTCATTTCCGCTCTTCCGTAGAGTGTGGCCAACCCACCTCCACTTACGTTCCCGAATTTCTGTCGATATCGGCTTCTGGTGACACCGTCGATGGAGCTCGGCATTCGAAATCCAGTTGTGAGGCCACCAAGCACGAATTATATACCGCAGGCATCGGTTGATGAACACCTGCAGCTTCTGTGTGATCTCCGCTGATACGCACCATGTTTCGCTAGCGTACAGCAGTACAGATTTCACGTTAGAGTTGAAAATTCGGATCTTCGTGAGGAGACTAATCTGATTTGACTTCCAGATGTTTCGTAAACTCGCAAAAGCAGCCCTTGCCTTCTTGATCCGTGCACCTATGTCACTCTTGGTTCCGCCGTCCGACGCTATCTGGCTGCCAAGATATTGGAAACTTTCAACCTTCTCCACTTCCTGACCAGCTACCGTAAAATTGGATGGATTTCCCGTGTTGATATCCAACGATTTAGTCTTGCTGACGTTGATGTTGAGACCTGCCGCTGAGGAGCGTTCGGCGAGATCGTCGAGCTTACTCTGCATGTCAGAACGCCGTTGTGATACTAAAGCAACGTCATCCGCCAAATCTAGGTCGTTTAGATGCTCCATTGTAATAGGCTGCCAGAGCAACCCACGGTTCGGCACACGGTCGATCGCACCAACCATTATCTCGTCGATTACGATGAGGAACAGTAGCGGTGATAGAATACATCCTTGCCTCACTCCAGCGACTACCCGAATAGGGTCAGATAGGGCTCCGTTGTGCAGCACCCTGCACGTGAAAGCCTCATACTGAGCTTCGATGAGGTTGACGATTTTATCCGGAACTCCCTTGCGCCTTAGGGCGCCCCACAGGTTTTCGTGGTTGAGTCGGTCGAAAGCTTTTTCGTAGTCAATGAAAACCAAGTAAAGGGACTCTTGGAATTCGTTGACCTGCTCCAAGATTATGCGGAGCGAGACAATATGGTCCACACAGGATCTTCTAGCACGGAATCCCGCCTGCTGCCGTCGGAGAGTCGCGTCGATCTTCTCCTGTATCCGGTTGAGGATAACTTTGCATAGAACTTTGAGAACACAACACAGTAACATAATGCCACGCCAGTT